CAACTAATGAATGGAGATTGTGAGGCGGGCTTACAAAATCAATATCTGGATTAGTCCTAAAGGCATGGAAGTCCTCATTATTCATAGATACCAATATATTGGCCAGTATACCAAGGGAAGTTCCAATACCCTATAAAATAAACAGAGTTGCAGGTCAGAGGCAAATGTGAAGGAGGACAAAAGTTTTATATTTTAAATGTATTTTCATAGATTTTACAACTTCATCATGGCCATTTATACAACACCAAAGTAAAACAAATATTTGATAAACACTTAAATGACACAATCACTATCTACTATAGAAATGCAGTATTTTTACAGTGCGTTCAGAGTAAAAATAAAAACAAAGCACATTCTGTCAATTAACAAAGATTTTCCATTTTTTTAATTACAGGAAAGTTTGTCCGATGAGCTAACAGAATCTTTTCTGTAATTTTACACTTTTATTTCTTACAATTAAAGCACACAGCAGCATTTCTTCATCATGTAGAAGTTACACTTCTTTTGCTGATATTAAAATATCCCAGAGATAAAATGTGTACTTAAGCTAACATAAAGCAGAGTGTCCCACAATGTCAAATGAGTTTGACATCCCTGATTTAAACCTCAACCAACTATGCCAACTATGTTACAGATAGTATTGTCTGTGGTACCTTTTTGTCAGGTTGGGGAAGCGAGTAGTACCCAACCAAGGAAGCCCATATTAGCTCTGCAGCCTCTAACCACAGGCCTAAAACACAACAGAAAGACAATAAAAAATAATCACAAAATAATGACAATTATCTTTAACGTCACAAAAGTGATCTTACCCAGCTTTTGCAAAATCGTGCCACGCACTTGTACACTCACAGCCTGCACGAGCACCCGGTCACTTTCAGAGTGGTATATCCAACGACCTGCACATAAAAGATAAAGGCACATTATTTGTTTACTTTGTGGACTCAGTTTAATCCTCAATAAATGTCCGTGAAAAGGAACAGACAGGAAACTACCTGTCGCCCCGCTGTTGTTAATCAGGCTGCTCAGGATGTACTCTGCCTTCTGCAGTTTTCCTGTGGGGCAGATAATGATGATGTTTGCATTTACCCAGGCCTGCACAAGCCTTACTTAAAATGACCCTTTAATGAAATGTGGCAAAAATAACTAAGGAGTGAGAGCCGTTCATGTGCAATTTCCAGGTTATGAGTTTACGTCAATCACTATAATTTCTCCAAACAATAAATAGCACTGCTCATCTAACATGTATCAAACAGGAGTTTATATAGTCGTTTCCAGCTCCAAATTGCTATTATTTCACTCTCCAAGAACGGCTTTGATTTATAGTTTATAAAAATTATGTTTTTCTTATTTTGCTTTAGTCCATCCACTGTCTGAAAAAAAGATGCTTTAGCTCTTTCACCCCTCCCTACATGCCAAACTGATCTGTTGCCCCCTGCAGACAAAAGATTTGAACAGCTGATGGGTGGAGCTTCTGTGCTCACGGCGTAGCTGAAATTACCATATTAGATAAATCCCGTGTCACTGATATCACACAGAGATGAGAAGACAAAAAAATACTTTAAAAGCATCGATCCCAATCTTTCACTGCACTGTACCCGAGTTAAAATAGACCCTGGCCTGCCGTATGACCAGCTGGGGGGCTATGGGGGTCTTGGGGTAGCGTCTGTGGAGAAGCTTGGCAATCTTCAGCAGACGGCTTGAATCATCAGTCCAGTAGAGGTAACGGTCCACTAAGAAGACAACTGCCAGTGCACAGTGTGCCTCCTCAGCTCTGATGCAGGCCTTCAGGAGATCCTGGCAGACACAGCAAACACAACGTTTGGGATTGTGCTTATGTTTTTATTTACAATGACACCACAGGGTGCCAAGCTGAACAGGTTATTGTTTAATTATTACCAGTAGTTGAGACAAGTGTTTGCTGATGAGGTCATTGAGGTTGGTTTTGTCAGTGGCGCTGACGGACTGCTTATACTGCCACTTCTCCGGTGCAAAAGGCCATTTCATGTCCATGGCTTCCTGCAGGAGGGAGGCCAGTTCGGCACACAGCGAGTCTACAGGAAATAGAATCCAGCTGAGCAAACAATAGTGGGCTTAAGATACACTGATGCTTTCAAAATGTATTCACAAAAGAATATCTTTACCTAAAGTGACTACATTCAAGCTACACGGGGATTACTAGTACATAAACTGACCTCTTTATTTGAAACTTTGACCATGGTTAATATTAGCATCCACCATTAGAAAAAGTATATACAAAAAAAAAGCATGAAAGATTCACATCAACGCAACGCAACATAAGAAAAAAGCTGGATTGCTGTTTAGAAATGTACTGCTGTTTGAACCAATAACAGGAAGTTCCCAAAAGGAAGACTTAATTTACTTAGTATTGTTTGTGGATCACTCTGGCGTTGTGAATTCAGTTCTCAAGTTGCTTTTACAAATTTGTGTAGAAGGAAGAGAAGGTTTAAAAAAGTGCTTTGTTTTATCTTTTGCACTTAAACTAAGCTGTCCAAGGCAGCTTAGTTTAAGCTGCCTTTGACAGCTTAGTTTAAGCTGCCTTGGACAGTTTTAGGTCTAAGATTCTAAAATCAGCAGCAAAACATCATTTATATGAAAAATCTAAGTGAAATGGAGCATGTTTTGTCCCTTGTTTAGCAGTAACATGTAACAGTATGTGTGTGTTGACCCTATAAGATGCAAGACACCAGCCCGCATTAGTTAAAGGCACATGCTTAACATCACAAAGTGTCAAATTCATGCCATGAAAGCTACAGAGCTGTACAGAGCTTATGCAAGCATAATTCCACCTCACCTTTGATCCTGACCCAAATCTCTGAGTATCTCACATGCTCAAAAAACACTAAACAGCACCATCTTGTGTCTGACCTCTGCAGCTGCAGTAATTCAGCCGCTCTTGTGTGGTGGGCCCTGCCTCAGAAACCCCGGTGGACTGCCGACCTGCTGCTTCTGCTGCCCCGAGGCACTCGTCCAGTAAATCTCCCACCTCTCGACTGTCCATTGTGGCAAACAGACGCAGGTAGCTGTTTTCGGAAAGGAAAAAAAACCTTCTCTCTTGGCCTCCTCACCCCTGTTCCTGTAAGAGAGTGATCCAAGAGAGGGAAATTCCATGAAATGACAACACTGTTGAAATATTGTTGAGAAAGAGCGGCTCCATATCCGGCCCGTTTGTAATGTTTTTTGTAAAAAACAAACACACAAATAAATCAACGAAAAGCGTGATGAAATTGAACTTGTATACTTTTAAAAGGGGACTAAATATATAGTGTTAGCGGCCTAATTTGTCAGAACTTTTCAAAAACTCCTCATCTAGTTCATTTTAGAGAATTTGCTTATAACACATAATAATGAATGCATACGGACCTAAGTTTAGTTCAGTGACAATATTCTGAAATTCTTCAATAATATGTCGGATTTCAAACTAAACATCATTGTGAAAGTTATTTTTGGTTTATGAAGTCGAATGTCGTCTTTCAGCTGGAAGGAGTATAAAACATACACTATTCACCGAACTGCAATTTCATATGTTGTGTTGGCGCATGCTCAATCATCTGGACGTAAGGTTTTCAGTGTGAGAAACGTTTGGTCACTAATCTAAGCAACTTCTTCAGCCTCTTATATATCTATCTATCTATATCTATATGTGTATATATGTATATATATGTATATGATATACTTGTACGTATGTTATTTCAATACACCATACAATGCATTTCTGCTTTTTTGAAAAACCCCAACCACAGAAAGTATTTCTGCTCTATTCAGTGTAACATAGCTTACAGCCAATTAGCATACATTCGTAATTACACACCTCGGTTAAGTGTGGCTAACCTCGAAGTATTTATCTCTTTTCTTTTAATGTAAAATGTATGAAAAGTTCTTTTTTTAAACGCACCTATGGTTAGTTCTTGCTCTCTGCGTCTTCCTGGTGGGGCGGAAACATGAAATGCTGCTTTCAAAGTTTTCGGAAACATCAAACATGTACCCCGGAGCGTACGATATTTGTTGCGTTATTTAAACCTTGGTCTGTAAAACCCGAACATGAAGAAAGTAGGTTAGACTTAACATCAAAATACGCGGTATGATTTATTTAACTGATTATTTTTCTATTTATAAGAAGAAAACGAAAAATTACTTATATTATTATTTATACCTGTCGTCCCGCTTATTTATAAAATACTGTCTAACAGATTTACTAAAGATATTACTAAAAAATCTTATCAAATAAACAATTTTTGGTGGCTGTGCTTAAGTTACTTCAGCAAAATACTGTATTTTTAGTATTTAATGTTTTCTCTGTTGTTTATACTTATTCCTGCGCGACCTGAATGCAACGCGTGACGTAGTGAAGGGACACAACTGTGGTCTACAGCAACAGGTAGCTGGGCTGTAGGAATGTGACTGAAATAAATAATTCAATGAATACATTTATGTATAAAATAATAAATATCCTGAAGGATCTTTGGGAGGACTTTTGACCTTTCGACGCATAAACCAAAATGCAAAAAAACCCCAAAAAAACAACTACATCATATATCATCTGCTAAACAGCACTCACTCACCAAAACATTTACATTTTCATGAGTTTTTTTTCAGGTAACACACGTCCACATTTAATAAATATGTGATCCCGGCTGATAGGACGCCTCGATCTCTCAGAAAAGCGATCAGACGACGAAAAGCCCTGTGGACAGGTTGTGGCGGTGTTGCAGTCATACTACCAATAGGCGGGACTGTGGCTCTGCAGTGTTTGTGAGCTGCACAGCTGGAACACCAGAAGGCTGGCACGCGTTCCAGCTGCGAGCAGATAACTGAGCTCGGCTTCCTCCGCTGCACCAACACGCATCACATCCACAACGTGCTTCCGAGTGCGCCAGTAGAGAACTTGGAGACAGCCGCATGGCCCGTTCACAGCAGCAGCATTAACCCCCCGAAGTCGGACCCCAGTTGTTTATCATCTGATGACTTCTTGCGGGCTCCCATCTTTGCCGACTCTAACACTCGGTCGCCGAACAGACTTTGTGAGTTCGACAGTGTTACGGTGATGTAACGCTTCCCATACCAGAGCTCACTCCACAACTGTTGTCACTCCAGCCTCTCCTCTCAGAGCATGGGACGCTTCAAACTCTAAAGGTAAGACATCTCCTATTTACTTGTTAATACAACACTGGTGCCACTTTTTTTCTTTTTAATCTGCAAGGTTGAGCTCAACTATGGCACCTATTTCTTGAAGAAATCTGCCAAAACGTTACACGTCCTTTTCTGGTTCTGTTGCAAACCTTTCACAACCTCGATAGGCTGACTAACGGATGAGTGCAAGTGTTACTTCTTTTGCAACAGTGAAATCGCGCATGGACATGCCATGTCACGTTGATTCATTTTGGGGAAAAAAGGAGGTGAACTTAATGCTGCTGGGCTCAGACTTGCAGCTGCAGATACGTCTACCTGTTGAACAGTGTTCAGACAGTGATGGTGCTATTCACAGGGCCCAGTGTGTGACTGACTGTGTGCTTGTGTGTTTGTGTATATCTAGCTTGCAAACAACAAGCGTTGGCGGCTTTGTGTAAGAATGAATGAAGAAATGCATTATCTTTGTGGCTATTAATAGGCTCACTATAACCACAATATAAAGCTGAGATGCTTAGAGCTGCAGCTACACTGGCGGTGGCTGGGGTGGGGGTAGAGGGATGCCTATTTCTAAAATCTAAAATCTTTGTCCTGCTTCAGCTGGCATGAGAATGATGGTTAACAGAGGTCTGCTGGCACGCACAGTTACAGCTCAAGATGCCAAAGCTCCAGCTGAGTTCTTCTCTTTAAACCTTATGCATCTTTCAGAGCTGACAGCACAGTGAGGTGTGCTTTATATTGCACTGAGTCTCAGGATTACTGGCTGCTCTGCCACTAAACCAATGGATGTAATGATACCTGAATTGAAAGGAATTTACCTCGACTGTAACGCAACACTGTAGGCCACATCCCAGCTGATTGTGATTCAGCAGGCCCGAGTGGTGAGTCAAGCGAGTGACAGGTCAGGTGTAGCTGGCTCAGCCTTCAGTCAACCTCTTCATTGCTTGTTTTCTTATGCAGACTGCAGCTGTCTTAAATGTAATTTAAAGGTGATTTCGTGCCAATGCGTGCAGAGCAGCAGGGATTAGGAGGCATCTCGGAGTGTGTGGACGCTTACTCACACTGCAGCGTCTTCGCCAAGTTCACCCCAGCTTTATCCACCGCGAGCCGTGGTGTCAGAGCCGTGGGATTTCACTTGTAAGCTGGAATCCCTACTGATGTTTTTTTTGCTGCATGCGAGAGGCTAAAACAGAGAAGTCACTTCAGCGTTTTCAGTGTGTAGCTCATTTGGCTGGAGCTACACGTTGCTGATGTAGCTCCCGCTGCTATTTTGAATATTGGACAAGCCTGCTTTTGTGCCCTTGCTCATCCAGATTAGCAGCTGTTTCAGATAATGCAAATGAGGCAGATATTCAGCGTCAACCATCACGCGTGCGGCTCCCACTTACACACTTCTGTCAGCGACCAACAAATCAATAATAAAAAATAAAAAAAATGAAAGTCCATTTTGTCACGTGCTGGCTCATTTGATCATCAGTCGCCTCAAAGTCACCCATGGCCTCTGTGATCTCATGTACACAAACGCTGAAGTGGTGCTTGACTTGAAAGGTAGAGCGCTTTAAAAAGACGGGATTTCAAGGATTAAAGTGCCTCCAAAAAAAACGATTTTAGAAAAAACTGAGTGGAAGAGATTAAAGTAGGAAATCTCTGCATGCATCTCTGTTCTTTCGTTTTCTCCTCTGCTGCTGCAGTGCAATTACTTCTGGCCTGCGGAGCAGACACCCTTGATATTCAGCATCACTTCCAGCTGCCTCCCTCCACCTCAACCTGCAGTGCTGGTGCACTTATCAGGAAAGCCAGCTATAATTGGTTGTATTGTAAAAAGCTTTGCTGCTTTATGCCAAAGGACCGACAGCAACAAATTAGGGAGGAAGGGATGGTGAGTTGAGGAAGGCAAGAACTAAAACAGAATGGGGGGGTGGGGGGGGGGGGGGATGGAGGAAAATCAAGCTGAGAAGAAAATAATTACAGAGAGCAGACAATGAGCAGCAGCTCAGATATGTGCACTGGATATTTGCCATTACCGGGATGGATGGTCCTGTGCTCTGTCCTCTACCTTCTCCACTTTGCTTTTTATTAGCTAATCCAATTTAATCCTCCTTGATTACCACCACGGAGGCCGCCTGAATGTTGAAGTCTTTCTTTGAGCTGTTTGTTCGGTGATGCTTTTAACTGATTTAAACACCTGAAAGGAGAATTTAAAGGCACGCGGCGTAGGCAGAGCTGGAATCAGACTTGGTACGACTCCTACTAACTTGGCAGAAGAACAGCAATCCCAAAATTGTGACAACTAAGGGTCTAATTGTGAATAGATGTGAACAGGGTTACTTCTAATTTTGTATCAGGCTTCACAAACTGTTTTGCAAATGGTCTGCAAATAATTAAGCGGTCATCTGGGATGTTTGGATTCCTCTGCTTCTTACTCAACTCTTCAGCTTGCAGCAAAGGCCACGTACTCTGTAAAAAGGTATGGCAGGAACACAGGAAAGAGAGGCGGCAGCAGAGGAGAGGGAGACATTCTGTAGGAGGGGAAGGTAGCGGGGGTGGGAAAGTGTCAGACCTGAAGAGCTATAAATCAAGCTGAGGCTTTGAATTCAATCAGATAGGGTGAAAGGCATTTGTGGGCAAATTCCAAAGCTGATTACTAGAGAAGTTAGCAGGTGGTTACAATATCACCATTATTCAAAGTTTGGGCTGAATGGGGTCGCTCTGCGCTGAACAGGTGTTAGGCGTGCCTCAGTTTCAGAAACGCGATCGAAAGTGCCTGTTATCCCACATCTGCTATCAAGTAGTCTCTACTTTTGTTTTTCCCACTCATTCTGTTTACAGTCTGTAATCTGTCAAGCTTTTTATCCGAATGTGCATAATATTTGGTGTGTTATGACTACAGGAAATTGAGGGCTTTGTGGTGTGCTCATGGATGTGTGCTGTTTTAGGGAGGAATACATAAACAGGAACTAGCCAGGGCTGTTAAAAAGCCTGCGGGGGTAAAAAGGAGGGTGGCTGTTTGAATGTGAAACTCCCAGCATTCACAACTAGTTCAAAATGACTGTTGTATAAAACCACTGTGCAGCTCAGTGAGCACATCTCTGACAGGCAGGAGGAAATGAAGCAGATAAACACTGCGAACAGAACAAATTGGCCTCCAGAACTGCAGTTTGTGCCTCATTCTGCAAACCGCAGGCATTTCTTCGAAGATCGGAGTTTGTGAGAATTAAAACATGCAGCATCACTTGGTATGTGGCCCTAACCACAAGTAGTTTTTACAGCAGCTGCACAGCTGTGCCTCCTTGTTTCTGAGTCAGGGGTGGAAAACAGCACTTTTGGGCAATATAAGTAGCTGAGATTTATATTGTGAAGGTGAATCGGCTTAAAAAATACTTTTCAAAAATACTTTTGGTTGGATGATTTCTTGCTTGAGTATAGCACGTTACTACTGACTGTTGGTCAACGTTTACATTCAAGGCTTTGTGTTAGACAGGATTTATGAAGGAAAGCTTCTTAGATTTTGGGCAACAAGACTTCCGGCTCTCTAAAAGTCTATGCAAAACTAACCTTGTCCAGTGACTTTGTCCCAATAGACTCAGTCACTACTTCCAGGTCAAAGTTCACAAGTTAATATTGCAAATTAAGGTTACTATTAGAGCGAGAAAGCATGGTTATCCAGGATGTGCTTATTGGCTAATGACTTTCACTGAAAAGATAGTGACAGCAACAACACCCAGGTTGAGGCTTTTATGCACTAACCAGAGGGTGTTATCATTGTGACTACACCCATGTTTTACATCTTTTAATCTGGGGTTTAACTTTAACGTCGTGTAAAAAATACAGAAAGCCTTAACCAAAAACTTATTTTTCTGCTCTAGAAGGTAAATATAGTATGTAACAGCTTGCAGCTACATAGCCTTGAGTAAAGATGGACAGTATTGCCTGGCAAACAGGGGATTACATCATTATGTGTTGCACAAAGGGAAAACACAATCACACAACTAACTCGTCTGTTAAGATAGCTCTTTGTTTTATTTTATTCTTTATGCTAAGCTAAGTAGTTTCTTGAGGCTGCTTCACATAAAGTTTTTCTTACATAAAAGTCTGACAAAAGTGCAAATGTGCCAGTTTCGCTCTGTTTAGAAGACTCAGAACTTCTCTGATCAGGAAAAAAAGGCTAGCCTTGCTGCATTCAAGGTCATAAAATCTGCTAAGTTAAACCCTTGTAAGCTAACTATAGGTAGCAATATCCTCATATTAACTGTGGAGACATGCAAATAGAGTAAATTCCTCTTGGCAAATATATGAATGAATGTATTTCCCTTTTAATTTAAAATTTGCCCGTTGGAGATGGAACACTTTGCAACAACAGGAAGTGATATCCCTGACTTCAGCAGAACACTAGAACACGAACCCTGACCGAGGCATGCTCTGGAGTTAATAGACAGCTGGCAGGAATCAAACCCAAATGCAGAATTCCATAAAATGATGTATCACATTAGGCCTTTAACACAATACGCCATGTGGCCTCATCTTTTACTCATCACGCAGTGAGGTTTGAAGAGGAAGTTTTGTGTGTCAGAGAGATAAATGACAGAGTGAGGAAAAACTCTAGCATATAGAGGAAATATGTGTGAAAAAAATTATTCATAGCACTTACTCAAGCCCGCTCTGTACAAGTGTGTTTGTAATAAGGTAGCAAAAAAAGAGAAAAGTGTGGACAAACAGAAGAAGTTGCCACATCTCACATACACATAGCAGCACACCCTTCCGGTATTTGTTGTGAAGCAAACTTTCACATCTGGTAAAGGACCCATATTTGAGCAGGAAGCTTGAACACAAAGCAGTGAAAACAATCTGACACAATGATGCATTGTCGCATTTGGGGGGGGGTGGTGGCAGGAGGCATACATTATAACACATGAAATCAGCCACGATGCCCTCTCTGTCTCCTGCGTTACGTTTTTCATTTGAAGTCAGAAATGAGAGATATAAGATATTAATTTGAGCCAGATGTG